CCCAGCTGTGAGCCTTCCAACCGTCTAAGTATTCCTTTATATGTGGTTCAGAGTTCTGGGACCATCCCCTGAGCCTGCTTGGTCGGGTATTCTGTTGGTGGAGCTCTCTGCTATACGACCACCAGATCCGCCATCTTGTTTGTTCTCCTAACACATTTTTGGATCACCAGGCTTTCTGTTAAACTTTTATTCCCATGAAGTACTTTTTAAAAAATACAGACACCCATAAGAGATCATTTTCAAATACAGACGTTGAAGCCTTGTTTTGTAGTCCTCATTAGCCATGGTCACATACAGTTAGCCAAGTTGTTCTTGATGTTTAAAGGTGTGGGGAGTTCTCAAAATTGAATTCTGACTTGTTTAAAACCTTTTCAAGCAGATTAGCCATATAAGGAGGTTTGGCTTTAATCTGAGATGTTGTATCCCTCCATTTAGACTTGAGATCATGAAGATTTTTGTTAGAATTCCATCCCGGTTATTGGCATTTTAGTTAGTTATTCCTTTTATAATGATTTACCTAACTCAGTGATAACATATTACAATGTTTGGACTCTTTTCTTTTGATATCTCTTAGATCTTGTTTTTTAAATAATACAGTATCGCATTGTTTCTACTTTTGGACTTCAGGATTATCTTAATGCTTCATAAAGTGTTGCTTGAAAATGTATTTTTTAGTAAAAAGTTACTTGTAAGGCGAACAAACTAGATTTAAAAAAGAATGTTTCTGAGACAATAAATGAAGTGCAACCGATAAACCTTTACGTGCTTTCCTTCACTCCCTCACCCCACTTAATTGTAGAATTGAACTGAAAACTCTTTTGTGCAAACTCTCTCCCCTCTTTTCATTGCTTCAGATTGTTTCCCCTCTTTTCATTGCTTCAGATTGTTGTTGTTAAGTGCCATCGAGGTTGTTCCAATTCATAGCAACCCTGTATATATAGGGTTTCCAAGGAGTGCTGGTTGGTTTGAACCACTAACCTTGTGATTAGCAGTCCAGTGCTGATGTGTAGTGCCACACCAGGAATCTGCTTCAAATTATAACCATGTACTTGGTGGTGGCGGCGGTGATATGCCATGGAGTCAGTTCCAACCCATAGTGACCTTGTACAGGGTTTCCGAGGCTGGAAATCTTTACGGATGCAGAAAGCCTCATCTTTCTCCCGCGGAATGGCTGGTCGTTTCGAACTGCTGACCTTGAGGTTAGCAACCCAACTCGTAGCCACTACACTACCAGAACTCCTTACCATGTACTTAGTACTCTGTAAATTCTATTGACCATAGATATTAAGCCAAGGATTGAAATGTGCTATCATACAAATACAAGTATATAAGCATACTTTGTTGTTAAGTGCCATTGAGTCCGTTCTGGCATATAGCGACCCTGTATAGCGGTTCTGAGGAGTGGCTGATGAGCTTGAACCGCCACCTTTGCAGTCCAGCGCATTAACCCACAGCGCCACACTGGGGCTCAATAAGCATACTGGACCAGCACAGTTAAAATGTAGGATTGCCTCACAGGATTTGAGAAGGATGGCAGTACTGATTAATATAGACAATGCCCCCTTCTCTTCTTATTCCCTAGATTTCTGAAGCTGGTAGTACCACCTAGTGGTCACAAAACATCATTGCAGCTAACATTACATAGGCTCATTTTGACTACCTTGGAGTGTGTGGAGTGTCGCGCTGTGGGTTAATGCGCCAGACTGCAAAGCCATTTGAATTGCAAGGTTGGCAGTTAAAGCTCACCAGCTGCTCCTCGGAAATCCTATACAGGGTTGCTATGGGTTGGAACCGATTCGATGGCACTTAACAACAACTGCTCTGAGAGACTTATTTCATAGTTTTCAAGATGATTTTTCCTTTAGTGTAGCTGAAAGGATTATTACAGTTAAAATGTGTGAAACAATTTATTTGAAATTTGTAGCACATTGTGACCCCCATGTATTACAGGCATATGAAAGGGCTTCAAAAAGTTCATGGAAAAATTCCATTATATTTTTATTCCATTTTTTCCACAAACTTTTAAAAACCCCTTCATGTATAGTATGTTTGTATTCTTATTGTAGAACTTGAAGCATCATATTATGATTGTAAAGTATCGAGTTTATATGTACCACTTTCATCTAGCTTGAATTTATTTGCTAATGAGTTCTTTGTCAGAAACAGGACTTGAATTATTTGTTCTAAGGGAAAGAAATGTTCGCTTTTATGATCATAAATTAGGATTGGGGCTTGTAGGCTTATTTTCCAGGGACTGTGATGGAGAATTGTATTGCACTGGTCTATAGAGTGGGGTCCTGGTATAGCGCTGCAGGATAAGCCCTGGACTGCTGACCTCCAGAATTTGAGCATTTGGGAGGTAGAATTGATATGACCTAGGGATGGAGGAAAACCGGATACTGGAGATGACTGCTAGGTTTCTTACAAAGGGATGACTGATGATGACATTTACTTAAATGACGTTGAAGTTGGAATGTGCTTACGGGGAAAATTGGTCAGTGAAGCTTGAAAAGGTTGAGTTCCAGACACCTGCACACTGTGAGTTCTCCAAGTGGTGGTAATAAATAAGTCAATGGATTATGTGCTTCCCCTTTTCTGTGGTGAAAATATGCATAAAACATGGTTCTTGTTCTTAGAATAGAACAGAAACCTTGGCTAGATAAAGAAACGTGTCAGCTGTGAGTTAGATCATTGAAGCTCTGTGATTGGAGCAAAAGCCCTTAAGGGCGGGAGTTCAGTCAGGTGTCTGGGTGTGATTACAGGGATTAGGTAGTTAATGGAGGACATCACTGAAGATCACAAAACGGATTGATTGGCTAGGTGTTGCCCAGGATGGAGGCAGGAGTTGGAGAAAAGGACTGTGAGCGGTACAACTCCTGGCAGTTGTGATTGTTAGCGTTACTGGGGGAGAAGGTGGCAAGTCTCTGTTCTACTTCAAGTGGTCTGTGGTCCTGAGAATTGGTGTCACCTGGTCTCTTGTTAGAACTGCAGCCTCTCAAGCCACACCCCTGACCTCCGAAATAGGAACTTACAATTTGACAAGATCTCCAGATGATCTGTGTTCAGATTACAGTTTTTGCTGTAATTTAGATGGATGGGGGAGAACCTCAGAAGTGCAGGCCTTTTAATAGAGGGATAGAGAACTCGGGGCTCAATAGCACTGTTTGATAGAACTCCAAGTGGTGAGGGTTATTCAGCACATGAAATGTGGCTCGTGTGATTGAGGGACGAAATGATAAAGTTTACTTCATTATAGTTCATTTGTATTTAACTCGTCACACGTGAGGAGCCCTAGTAGCATGGTGGGTTTCGCATTATGCTGCAAATCACAGGACAGCAGTTGGAATCCATCAGCCACTCCTCGGGAGAAAGATGAGGCTTTCTGCTCCCGTAAAGATTTACAGCCTAGGAAACCCTATACAGGGTCACTGTGAGTCAGAACTGACTCCATGGCACATCACACCACCACCACCACCACCACCACCACCACCACCTGAGAAGGTAATAGTAAAAGCTCAGAGAAGAGCTGCCAGGGTTCAATTAAAGCAAGAGGTGGAGGAAGTGTTCAGAGGAAACTGAGGCTACAAGGCAGTTTCATCATTCAGTTTTAAGTTTCATTTAATGTTTGGGAAGTAGGGAAGTAAGATCAGAACCTACTGTGCACTGGAGACATTTTCTCATATCATCCTGCAAGGTAGGCGTATTGTGCCTGTTGGATTGAGGAGGAAAACAAAGCCCAGAAAATAGTGCTGGAGTCGAGTTGGGATTTGAAGTTAAGCTTCATTCTGTAGTGAAGCATAGGCCAGGTCATGATGA